TGTAGCTAATCTTGTTGGTGATTTTGGTTTATTATTAGGGTTTTTAAGGTTCTATTCAATATGACCATAAGACATTGTATGCTTTATGTTTGTTTTGATCTTTAGGCACCAAGTTTGGCTATCCATCTTTATAATAATAATAATAAAATAGGTGAATGGTAGACTACATTTACAATGCAAGTACAATAACTTATTACATAAGAAAAAAAACTTTGCATGAAGGTGTGATAAATGAAAAAGTACATTCCTTTTCTATGACCTTAACCCTTTGATGATCATGCCACCTAGACGCCATGTCAGCAAAACTTACAAGTTAATTAGTGAAGTGAGTAGAATCATTTTGCAAGTACATTGACTTTAGTAAGAACCAAAAAAAATAAAAAAATAAAAAATTGGTGACCTAAGTGGGAGAAATGAGAAAGTATGTTCCTATTCTTTGACCTTACCTCTTTGATAATCATGCCACCTAGATGCCATGTCAGCAAAACTTACGAGTTCAACAATTTAATAAGTGATGTGAGTGGGACGTTTCTTGTAAGTACAATGACTTAGTACATACAAAAAAACAATCAATCAATCAATCAGTGGGAGTAATGAAAAAGTATGTTTCTATTCTATTACCTTAACCCTTTGATGATGTGTCAAATGCATGCCACCTAGATGCCATGTCAGCAAGTTAACGAGTGACCTAAGTGGGGATAAATGAAAATATACGTTGCTATTTCTATAACTTCGGGCCTTTTTCCTCATCTTTTGGAGTTCCTTTTTTCAAGTACTCATCATATGAGAACATAAAACTTGTATGCAATCTTCTCAAAGAGGCTATGAAGAAGTTTTCATTCTCCTTTCTTCTCCATCCATTTGCATTATCATGTGTACTCTATGCATGAACAATAGTACATTATAAGTACTAAACAAAAAAAAATGGCTTCAAATAATTTATTATCAGGTTCCATCAACTACCAGAGTTTGACCAGGGAAAAAGAAGCTGCAGGAGACGATTGGCTGGGCACAATGAACGTAGAAGAAAGCCATCTTTGCTATCCACTCGCTATGGAACTGTCTCCTCCTCAATCTTTGGTTTGATTTTCTTTTAATTCTTTTCAACTTTCAATTTTGATCCTTTGTTGTGAATTTTTCTACAACTTTTTTATGTTGACATATTGTGGACATGTGGTAGGTTTATTGAAACAATTTCATTAAATAATACGGTAACATTAAAATTCCATTTGTTTGCCTTCTAATGGTACTTTTTTTGAAAAAAAAAACAATGGTGTTTTGTGAAAAAAAATAGTATTGTCCCATGTGATGTACGTTTTTTTTTTTCTAAAACTTGTTACTAATGGTTTAAAGGTGGAATGACAGAAAACAATGGGAATTCTGGAGGCTTTCTAATGGACTTTTCGTCATGCTCAAGAGGAAGGATTCAGTGGCCAGGAACAAGGGCGGCACCACCGCCTCGAGCCGCCATCGACCTCCCAATTGCCGGGGAAAAGTTCCCACCGCTTCCTTGGCAAAGCAATCTGGATAATCCACCTCCTTATGTTCCACCAGTAGGGTGTTTTAATGGAGTCCATGAGGACTCCAACTGTGCTCTCTCTCTTCTGTCAAATCACTCATCTGGCTCACGGAACCAATCCCTGAGCCATGAGTACTATGTGAACCCTGAAGCTGGTGCTGGCGCACATGTACACCAGCTTCATCAACCAACAATCGGAACCGGAACTGGTTCCGGAACCATGGTTGAGGTTCACTACTCAACCACCACAAGTGGTTGGGTTTACGAGACCCATGATGCCCATCTGGGTTTGGGTCACATCCCACAGTCTGGTGGTGGCTACTCTGGTGAGGTTGGACTTGGTCAACATGGTGGGGGAAGGCGATATGACTCATCTGTTGACCACATTGATTGGTCACTTTGAGTGATGTGTATCATCACAGACTATGTTATGTAAAACTTTTCAATTCTGACCTGTTTGTTTTGTTTGTGTTGGGACATGATCATGACTAGCATTTATGATGTGTTGTAGTTGAAACTGATGAATGGGGCCTTTGGCTTTTGTCTAAATAAGAAGGAAATGTTTCCTGGGTTTGGATATTCGTTTTTTTTTTTTTGTTATATTTGTGTTAAATGGGGACCAGATTAGATCGGTTGTACCAATTCAAACATTTTTGTCTCAAAACTGAATAAGTAAAACTGGTACGGACTATTTCAAAATCTAGTTTTGTGCGTCTCTATTGTAAGTTATGTGATACAAGTTGTTTATTATTAGCAATTCAATTCACAACTCAATCTAGGATAATAAGAAATATAAAAAAAGTTATTTCATTTAAAGTGGAACTAACCATTGTTATTGTTTGTTATCTATTTTTTAATTATAATATGTTAGCATTTTCTATAGAATAAATATACAATTTTTAGTATTTTTTTAATTTAATTTATAAAGTATATTTTACATTAAATTGGTTTTCTTAAAAAAAACAACTAATCAATGGTTGACACGCAAGCCAATCAAAGGCGGACCAAGTTAGGTTGCAACCAATGTTTTATAAATTGATTTTTTAATTGAACCACTCTGACGATCGATTTTCGGTTTGACTGTTCGTTCCACTGATTTAATCATCATTCTACATCTAACAATGGTGTGCATTGGATTTCGAGTTGTGTACGCTTTGAATAACCTGATCGTTCGAGTTATTCAATTTTCTTTGGAAATTTACTATTTTTTAATGGGCTAAGTAAAACCTAGCTATCCAAGTCTAGCATACTAGATCAAAACGGTTTTTACCGATTTTACGACATAGGTTGAACCCCGGTTTTTGAAGAAACCGACCGGTTTGATTTGATTTTGAAATTCGTATAAAATGGATCGTTGTTGAACCACTCTTGTTCCTGATTCCCGATCCAGCTAGTTCGAACCGGTTTTCTATAACATTGATCACAACTCACAACAATAAGTAAATATGTATTTTTTTTTAAAATTTATTGTGTTTTTTTTATAGTAAAGAGACTTATAAGAATTGAATTGAAATACAAAAACACAAATTAAATTAATAAGATCATATTCAATAATTTTTTTATAGTTAAATGTTATTTGGTTGACCATTTATTTGCATTGGAGAGTATATATTTTTTTTTTTATTGATCATTTAATAGTCAATATAATAATATGTTTTATACATTTAACCTCTTATTCTTTAATTATATTATATTTTTACCTCTTTAATTACATTTTAATTTTAATTTTTTTTATTTTTTAATTAACTAATTAATTTTTATCATCATTTTTTATTTATAAAACGTTTATGTATTAATCTCTAGTTATAATAATTATTTAAAATACTTCGTCTTAAAACATGACATGTTTAATAAACGAGTAAATAAATAATGAGGTTTTATGAAACATTTTAGATAAATGAAAATTAATAAATTATAAAATAATTAAAAAAAAACTATTGAAAGAGTTGTACCATTACAGATGTCTTAGTCAAAATTAATAGAATAATAAAATGATAAAAATATTAAGTCATAGTATAATTTCACTATTAGGAAAGCCCAAATTTTGTATCAGGTTTAACTAGGGATGAGGACAGGAACAGAAACAGGAAATCCCCAAATAAAAAATAAGGTTGGGGATGTCCCTACTCTCCTACCATGGACCCATCCATAGTAGATATTAATATATAAAAATAATACAAAACATAAATTTAAAATACATAAAATTTGATCAAAGTAACAAACTCATTAATAATTATTTGGTTGAAATTATATTGCTTTTTCCTTATTTATCTAATTTAACCTTGTGTATAGTTTTTTTCTCTGGACTATAACTATTGTTACCTCAAATTAGGGTTGTAAATGAAATGAATTTTCGGCGAACTGTTCGTAAATTATCCGGCGGAAAGTTTGTTTATTTAATAAATGAACAATTATGAACACAGTTTCTCGTTCGTTTTGTTAAACAAACAAACATGAAAAATGGTTTTGTTCGTTTAACTATATGTTCATGTACGTTCGTTTATGTTGTTTATTTACGTTCGTTTATAATTGTTCATATAAGTTCATTTTTATGTTCATGTATGTTTAATTGTGTTTGATTACATTATTATATTATATGTTCATTTATGTTTATATATGTTCAATTATGTTTGTTCGTTTATGTTTATTTAGCATGTTCACGAACATGAACAATATAATTTATTGAACGAACGAACATGAAGAAGAAAACTAGTTCGTTTACCCGTTTGTGTTCGTTTATTTGTTCGGCTAACTTAAACGAATGAACATAGACAAAACCCCAGTTCATATTCGTTCAGTTCGGTTACAACTGTACATCAAATATCATTTGAATAATTTTTTTCTACTTGATATTCTATGTATGTATTTAATTTGATAGAAAAACTGTTTATAATTTTAATGCAATCTATGAATATGTTTATGTTTTGTAAGATCTTTAAACTTATGATGGTAAAATTGAAATTTAGAGTTTTTTCTTTACGTGGAAGATTCTATATTAAAATAGAAAAATAATTTTCCAGTTATGCGTTGGGATCCCTGGTCCTTATTAGGGGGTGAGGATGATGATTCATTTATATTTCTCAATGAGGATGTGGGTGACGATTGGAATAAGAATTCAGGATGTGGATTGGGGTCCTGGTATTTTTCGACCACGTTTCTATCTATATTAATAAAAAGAAGGGACAAATTTGTAAAAATGGTCCATGTGTATGTCAAAATTTTGTGGGTTTAGTCTAAACAAGTTTGGTGGCGCATCAGTGGTCCACTTTTGGATACCTTGTGTGGTTTTGGTTCATACCCCACTTGAAATGACCAATATACCCTTAAGTAAATGTCTTTTAATTTCTTTAATTTATTTAATTTCTTATTGTTTTGATTTAAAAAAGGAAAAATATATCACCCACCCACTTGCTCTCTCTCTCTCTCTCACACACACACACACACAACAGTACCACCATTAGTTCACCATCACCCTCTATTAATGCTTGCAAGTAAGAACATCATCGACCAACATTCCTTTGAATATCTCTCTCTGTATCTATCTATCTCTCTCTCCATATATCTTTCTCTTTTTTTTCTCTCTCTCTCTATATATATCACTAGGGTTTTTCAGATCTTAATGCCCTAGCTCTAGAATGAATCGTGGTAAATCTGAATAATACATGCCCTTTGCATGTTCATCGTCATCATCTCTTTTACCTTTCTACTCTCTGAAACATGAATTCGATAAGAAAGATGTCAGACCACAATCGCCTACCTTTGGGGTTAGGAGTGTTGGATCTGGAATTTCTTAGAGTTTTGAACAATTGCATGTGATCTTGGCCCCTTTTTACTCTATTTTGACCTAGTTTGAGTTCAAGACATGCATTGGACATGCATATATACTAAGCAACAAATTTTATGGTTAATTGGATGAGAGAATGCTTTATGTAAAGTTTGAAGGGTTGGTTTGACAGATTAAGAGCTTATTGGACTGAGTTGGTCTAAATAGTCACCATGATGTGGTGAATGGGTCACCACAACGTGTTATGCGACCTTTTTGTCCTACAGTCACCACAGCATGGCTGGAGCTAGCCACGATGTGGCGACTGGCTGAGTTGACTTGATAACTTTGACCTTTGACCAAGATTTTGACCAAGTTTGGCCTAAAGGTATTTTGGGTATTCTATTTTGTATTTAAGATCGGTCACTATTTGATGAATATATAACGGGTAGAATTGAGGATCAAAGTAGAGACTTATTCAACTATTTGTTCAGACTAGAATGTGAGTTTTCCTCACTGTACTTATGGGTCGAAGACACCAATATCGGCCCATGGAGTTATGTATCTTGGTTTAAAGGATGTTGTTATGATAAATTGATATGTTAGTACTGAGTTATGGTATATAGGATGTTGTTATGCGATAGTAATTTGTAGATCTGCATGGTAGTCTGTTGACTGGTTATAAGATTATATGTTACTGTTATATGTTATCTGTTATGTACATGTTAACATAGTATGGTTGGGTTGAGGCATTACTGCTTTGTGTGGAAGCCAATAAACCTGGGAGCAAGCCATACATAAGTTGTGGGCCAAAAAGGGCAAACCAAACTTATGTTGTGTGCTCGGGAGTAAGCCAAACATGAGTTATGGGCCTGAAGGCAAGCCAGACTCATGCTGTGGACTCGGGGGGTAATCCATTTTGTTACGTGTAGACCCAATATGCATGTTGTTATATGTTGTGTGGTGATACTGTGGAGGAACTCACTAAACATTGGCTTACAGTTTGAGTTTTATGTTTCAGGTACTTTGAATGACTGGGGCAAGGCGAAGGTGTAATCGTACACATCCTTCGATGATATGTTTTGGGAGATTTTTATGATGCATTGATCTTGGGAGTATTTGTATTGACACTTGAGTTGATATGGTTTTGGTTGAAAACAATGGTTTCTTTTAAATTAAAAATGAAAAAATAAATATCGTGACTTTTGGAATGTTACAGTAAACTTTTATCCCTAAATTAAACTGAAATTCAACACTAAACCACACCAAACCAAAACCAAGAACAATCCTGTAACCTGCAACCTGCAACCAATATTAAAACCTTCAATCTTTTCACGTCTAAAAATTTAAAATGGTTCAAGAAATCAATTACCCCGTCGAGAAGGCATCGACATGTTAAAGGGAGGGGATGGGAGAGGCGGTAGGGGAGTTTGCCGACGATGGAAGGCGAGGATAGATACATGGATGATGTTTGAGTGTTTTTCGATTAAGGTTGTAGACAACAACTGGGTTTCTTGTACTTTGAGGATGGGCTAAGGTGTCTGAACGAGGAAGGGAAAAGGAGTAGGGTGAGTTCTTTTTTTTTTTTTTTTTGAAATTATTAAAAATAGATAATAAAAATGAAAAAAGAAATTATATGGATATAATAGTCTTTTTAAGTTCATAAAGACTAAAACCGATAAAAATATTCAATTTTAAACCATTGATACATCATCAAAACTTTTTAGATCAAAATTATATAATTTTGTCAACCGCATGATTATTTTTGCAATTTTGTAAAAAAATGTATGTGGTTGAGTTTTTTTTTTTTATTATTATTTTATTTTATAAAATTACATTTTGAGTACTTAAATGGAATTCATTTGCATTATTTCTAATAATATAACAAAATGAAATTGCAGGTGCAGACTTTTAACTATATCTGAGGGTGTAACCTAACCAGGGTTGATACTTGATACTGTGACAAAAATCCCAAAGTAACGCCTCCCCCCATCAGTAATCGGCCCGTCTCTTCCCCTCCGATCCTTCCGTTCTCTGCAAATCCGATCACTCTCCGTTTCCGCACTCCGGTGAGCACCCTAACCCTAACCCACGTACACCAGCACACACCACATCTCTCGATCTTTTATTTTCTCTCTCATCAAAGTTCAACATATTCATTCGTTCAGTTTAGATTCTAGGGTTAGCATTATACATACGTGAAAAATATCATTACCTGCAATTGTGCTGTTTTCTGTTTTTCAAGTTTCATTTTCGATGTGTATGTCATATAAACACATAATGCACCAAAAAGATAATCGAATACGCATTAATCGCAATCGCGTCATTTGGTACTGCCAATTTTGTATGATAGATTTAGAGGATTTTTTTTTCTACGGATTCGCAAAAATGCAAAATCTATGATGCTGAATTGTGATTGAGATTGATTTTTACCGAGTTAGAAGAAATGATAAGCTGGATGATTCCAACTTTCCTAGAGCAAATACTAGGGTTCGTTCTTTAAACCTCTGTTGTGGCTAATTAAAACTATCCATGTCCTGAATTGATCGACAAAAAGTTAAACTATCAATGTTCTTGCTGTTTCTAGTGAACTGATCTATCATCTATGATCTATCTCATTTCCACTCCTCTAGATTCTGTTGTGGCTAACTAAACCAACTATGTGTAGCTATTCTGTGCAAAATTTACCTGATACAGATACAAATTTCTGTCATTGAACCCCAAAATGCTATGTATGCTGAAACGAATGAATGAAATTATCCTTTCAGCAGAAAACTATGGATACTACGGATCGTAGATACTTGGAGGAAGAAGATTCTTCAATGACAAAGATGATGAAGGGTACTGCTACTGGTTTGGCAGCTGGAACAATTTGGGGCACCATTGTTGCTACATGGTTGGATGTTCCTCGTGTTGAGAGAAATGTTGCTTTACCTGGTTTGATCAGGACATTAAGGATGATGGGTACCCATGGGTTGACTTTTGCTGCCATTGGTGGGGTCTACATTGGTGTTGAGCAATTGACACAGAATTACAGAATGAAGAGAGACTTTGTTAATGGAGCAGTTGGAGGTTTTGTTGCTGGTGCTGCCATTATTGGTTTTAAAGGTCAGCATCATTTCCTTGTTTGCCCTAAGTCTTTATTTTTGACTTATTGGGTAATGATATCTGTCTGGATAAAGTGTAAGGGTAAAATGGGCATTTAGGCATGTTTCTTGTGGTGTGTTTTTAATTTTATTGATGAGGTGGCGTGTTGGGGTTGTGTAGGTAAGAGCATTTCAACAGCACTATCCGCCGGAGCTGCACTTGCTGCCACTTCTGCCGCCATTGATGTTGGTGGTCAGACAACTAGAATGGATACCGGAAAGGAGTATTATCCTTATACTACCAAGAAAAGGGTTGATGCCAATTGAGTGGGACCCTGTTATGAAGGAGGAGGTTGCTGTTTTCTTTTTTTTACTATTATTGTGATAAATGATTGCTTTTGGATATTTGATTTTGGTGTATGTTTTGTTTTTGTTTAATCAAAGTTTACAAAGTCAAGACAGTTTGCTGAAATAAATTTACAGCAATTTTCTGTACTCAATAAGAATTATGCACATTCTGATTCCAATGTTTTTGTCACTTCAACGTTACACTAACTTTTATTTAATAAAATTCCATTGATACAAAAACTTTTTCAACAGCTAACATTTTTCAAAAAAAAAATTATTTTAAAGTTAACTAATTTATATTTATATATCTTAAATAAAATTTTCAAAAATAAAGTTAGTTGATAGTAATGTTTAAATGGTTAAAAGATGATAAAAGATTATATGTTTGGGCAATTTTTTTTTATCTTTGGTGTTTATGCCATTTTAAAAGTTGACAAGTATATAATATATTTGTTTATAAAGTGTATTCAATTTTATCTTGAAATTTTAATCAAATAGATTTTAAATAATCAAACAACATTCTAATATCCATTCTAATATCCATATGTGACTAAGGTCTAAAATGAAATGTTATTAAATGGAAGTGTTAAATTGGACAAAACCAAAATTACATCCACAATGCAAGTTTAATAAATGGTGAACCATACCATGTCACGAGTAAATAAGAAAGGTTAATCATAGAACACTAACCATATGTTGAAGATGTCATAGTTTGAACCGAACCCCTGTATGAAATTATGCACATCAACCGTTAGACTCTCATCATAAGGGCAAGAGGTGTTGAATAACGTGGTGATTAAGATTGAATGTGTTTAATAAAATGTGGTTTGTGGTATGGAGGAGTTAAATAATCTTAAAACCGTTCAGAGTAGGGATGATAAGATGATGATTATGATTGAATAAGTGTTTAATGGGTTGTAGATGTTAAAAGTAGAGGGAGCGGTGACATTTATTCTAAACTGACACATCACTTTTTTGAATGCCAACTAAACTTAATATTATGATATTATGGAGTTATGATGAGTTTGATATTGAATTTGGAAAAAAAAAATGAATAAAAACTAAAATAAATATGAGTTAATCACAACCCACCACACATCTCTCTCTCTCTCTCTCTCTCTCTCTCTCTCTCTCTCTCTCATCAATCAACGAGCAAAAGTTAGTGAATCATCTTAGCATTTGCTAAGGGTGGTGTTGGCTCATGCAAAGACCTTTGGCGAGCAGGCTTTGCACACATACTCCCTATAGACTAAAAGCAAATTTGTATATGTATTTAATGGTTATATTGATACGACAGTTCATTGAATTCTGGAGAGTTCGATGAATTCTAGATGCCCTAATACTATAAAGCATTGGTGTCTTCTAACATTCCATGCTAAATCAACGACGCCACATCAGCCGTCTCATCAAATTTACACAACTTTTTTTTCCAAGTAAATACCGATGTTCGACCTTTCATCAAATTTTATTATTTTCTGATATAAATAATATTGTATTTATTATTTTTGAACTTATTTAAACTGAAAATACAAATAAATATAAATCTAAAGACTTTTTCTAACTGTATAAATATTATTGGAGATGTTAACATAGTAAAAAATGTTTGTCAACAAGATATCTTGTTCTTGGACATTAACAAAGATCTGTAAATTTTAGAAGCGTAATTTATCTGTCGAACATATAAATTGTATTTTAATTGATTATAATCTCTTACTTTATTTATTTTTTAAATATTATTTTATTTGAATAACATACTTTTCAGTCATATTTATATGTTAATCAACTATAGAATGTATATCATTCTAGAAAAATAATGAAAAAAAAAAAAAAGTGTTGGTAGGCAGATTTGATCTAATACGTTTAGAGCTCATCGTCATATCTATCGTTTTGTTAGGCTAACTTGGTCGTTAATATTAGCTAATTTTATTAAAAAATAGAGATAAAAAATAATATAATTGATCGGGAAAAAAAAATCTAAAACAAAAATTATTTTCCTATATTTTATAGGAATACACAATTCGAAAACCCAATCCGATTCACTTCAAAGAATTCCACGCGTCAAAAACCCATTGGATCTCTTGAATTTCTGTGGCCTTTCCGTTGCATCACAACTAGCAATCTTCTATTCCAAAACATTCCAGACACTCCACTAATGGCGAGCATCAGTTGCTGTTGCTCATCTGCACTTTCTTCTCGAAGGTAAACTTCTCTCTATCAAATCCTTCTTTCTTTCCTTTCAAATCCCCAAATCAATGCTCTCAATTCGTGTATTCTCAACTTTTCACCTCCTATGATTCCCTTCTTCTTTTTTCTCTGTGAAAAATCGTCGCACACTCCTTTCTTCTCGAGGAAAATTAATTCGTTTTAACTTTCTAACTCAACTCCCGTTTTTGTTACTTCAAATTCGATACCAATCCTGCATAGAACCCTTGATAATTCAATTTCCAAAACTAACGACAATTACAACATTATTGGCATCAAATCAATTTCACATATCTGTATAACAGCAATTTGGGGACACTGTCACTGAGATTCAATCGCGTCAACACAACACGACCTTTGCGTAGAAGTTTAAGAATCAACGCCGAAATTGATTATATAAACCCGGAAGAAGCAAAGAGACTTGTAGCAGAAGAAGGCTACTCCATTGTTGATGTTCGTGATAGAATTCAATTCGAAAGAGCTCACATAAAATCATGCAACCATGTCCCACTTTTCATTGAAAACAAAGACAATGATCCTGGTATATTATGTTACAAACTTCTATAATTGATTTTTAGTGGATAATATCTTAATTATAGGAAAAAAAAAAAAAAAAAAAGATTGAAAGTACATCGCTATATTTGTTTTGTGTAGGAACTATAATCTATAGACAATTACATAATAACTTCTCGGGTTTGTTTTACGGGTTACCATTTACTAAACCTAATCCAGAATTTGTGGAGTCAGTGAAAAACCAGTTTTCACCTGACAGTAAAATTCTAATTGTTTGCCAAGAAGGACTACGGTAAGAATTTTTTTATACCGTATCTATTTCCTATTATAGCATTTCTCCATCTAAATACAAAGCAAAAGTATAATATCGTAATAGAAAAAAAAAATTATAAATAATATTTTGTTGTTTTTTTATTAAGATCTTCGGGTGCTGCAAATAAATTGGAAGAGGCTGGATTTAAGAATATAGCATGTATAACATCGGGACTACAATCTGTAAAACCGGGTTCGAATTCAATTTCAAACATTTACAAATTTACCCTTGTTTATTATTATTTTGTTTTCAAGAAGAAAATAATAATAATAATAGTTAAATGTGTTTGGTTTTGATTGTTAGGAATGTTTGATGTTGTTGGTTCTAAGGAGCTAAAAGACGCGGGCAAGGGCGGTTTGGTCCAAGTGCAAGGAAAAATCTCGGCTGTTCTTGGAACCGTGCTCATCTGTAAGTTGTAAATTGATTGACTTAATGGGGAAAGTGCTTAATTCGTTAAGTTGTGTATGTGTTTTTTTTACTTAATGCAGAAAGAACGACTTCATATAGAAAAAGTCAGAGAAATGAAACTTTCCTTATCATCGCTTTACTTTTTTACTAACTTTTTTCCATTTCTCGGAAAGTGTGCTGTTGTTTTCTCAAATGTTTTTTAAATATGATTTATTTATGGAATTTATTTATAGGTGCGTATCTTTTCATAATGTTCTTTCCGGATCAAGCGGAGAAGATCATTGCATTGGTTCCTTCGAGTTAAGAAAGGGTGTGAATTATGAACTTATGATGAGATGGAAAGTTTTGTACATGTGTTAATGTGTTTGTGATTTGAATTTGTTAATTTGAGTGAAATAAGATTGTTGAGAACATAGATCATATGATCTTGTGATTGTGGTGATAGACTTGTAGAGTTTTAGCTCTAGTTGATTATTGATGTAATAGCGAGAATGTTTATCACATCAATTATAATTTGATTAAACTTGAATTAAAAAAAATGATGTAACTGGCATGATTATATGATAATATGTGCGTGTGCACGTTTTTTTTTAAAGACTACAATTTTTTAATAGAGCTAAGGTTGTGGGGTGTGGGTGCGGTTTTTACCGTACTTTTTGCCACATAGACAGGGGAACACCGCCCCCTGACTGCGGTTTGGTGCGGTTTAGACCGCAGTGCGGTACTCCATTGCTGCACTTTCACATTCTCTCTCATCTTTTATTTATTCTCTCTCTTCTCTTTCAACCAATCACATTTTTTTTTTCTTTTTCTCTCTCTTTACCATAATCTCACTCCCTTGGTGTGGCATGGAACCGCACTTATATGGTAAAAAGTAACGTGACGCTTATGTGGCGGGGGAGGGAGTGCGGTTTGGATGGCACCACTCCCTCCAGTCTAATGCAACAATACAATTAGAAGGGAATTTCAGAATTTTAGAATCTTATTTATAATACTCTTGACGTTATATTTTTCAATTGATTTATAATACTTGATGTCATTTTTTATTGTAGGCCCCTCTTTAGAAAGGATTAGGTTAATATCACAGATATTTTACATACAATACCTTTGACTTTTGATTTTTTTTTTTTTTTAAAAAGAAAAAGAAATGCTACCACAAGATAAACAATTGTAACTCTGTGTTCACAAAATATTTATTATTTCGATAATTTTTAATGGTATTTTATGAAATAAAAAATATATATATTTCATTACCCCTTTTTATGCTATTCTTATAATAAATAAATAAATAAATAAACAAATATGTGTTCATAGAAAAAATAAAAATAAATAGTTCCTTTTTTTTCTTATTAGAGTAAATGTGAGGTCTATAAATTAAGTAGTACATTATTTCAGCCATATCACTACATCCTCACAAAAATTCTCAGAACCATAAATACCCGATAGCTCCTTTTATGCTCTTATGATTCAATGAAATTAGGGTTTGATTTTGAGATGATTTGGTTCTGTGATTGACTTTGATAAATGTTGCGGTTTGATTTCAAAAGTGTTTATGATTTTAGTTTGTTATGTCGAAAAATATAATAATTTTCAAAGAAAAATTAAAATTTAAAAATAAAGTGATAGCAACATCCACAATAACAAAGCTTTCTTCGTTGAGTTTTTCATATACCAACTTATGGGACCCACATATGTTGACTAAAAGTAGTCTATCTAAAAAGTAAATTATAATAGTACAAGCTAAATAATTTATATATAAATTTACAAGTCAAACCAATTTTGTAAACAAAAAAACTCATTTTTGAAAACGAAAAAGCTCTCCACAACATGAGCAAAAATCCGATTACATTAAAAATACATTATGCTAAAATTCGATGACATTACAACATGAACATTTTTTAATAATACACATTCAAAATGTTATTTCAGAGAATAGGAGCTTTTGGAACTCGAAGCATTAGTGTGTGATGATAAAAAATATATAATTAAAAAAAAAAAAAAAGTTACAATGAGTTAGCAAAATCATACTCCACTCCATGTTAAGCCAAAAATGTTCGAAATCAAGTTTTAATTTTATATATTTCCTTCGCTTCGTTGCACAATTAATGCTACTCTCCCTGTATGCAGTACAACTGTCTAACATTCCCAGAGGCTGCAAAGACCATTTCATATACCAAAATAATTAAAAACTGAATTATTTAAAAAAAAAATTATTAAATAAAGATAAAAAAAATGCTAATGTTAAAGGAAGATTATTATTACCATATAACCAGTCTTTAAAGTAGACATGAAGTGCTGTTGATACTTCCCTCTTTTTGGTATCTTCCAATTGTGATTCTTTCAATATTTGTTTAACCTCCACCAAATTCTTGTCCTATCAATCAAAACCCAAAAAAAATTAAATTACTAGACTTTTAAAATAAATAAATAAAAATAACATAAAATTGCCTAAACATACATTTCTGTGCTGCGATGACAAATACACATCAGGCAATGGAAATGGATTGTCTTTTGTGGGCCCACATTCTTTCTCACCTTCAAGCCATTTTGGAATCTGTAACAAAAACAAAATAAACAACAATATACCAAAAATCAGTAAAAGGGCATTTGAGTAAAAGAAAGATTATAAATATTTAGATAACTTTTTTTAATAAAAGGGTATTTGAGTTTTCTTTAATGTGAAGGAAATGCTTGTAATTGCATTCCATGGGCTTCTAAGGACTTTTAATATCCATCAGTCATAATTTTATGAATTCCAACAAAGGAATGGAATGGAATTGAATCCCAAATTCCATGGAATCCAATAAATCAGGTGTCACTAACCAAAGTTCATGTGTATTTGACTATCTGTGTGTGTGTACACACACACATAGAAAGATTATAACTACAAAAAAAATAAAAAATAAAAACACAAACTTACCAAAAAGTTGGTAAACTGATCTGTTTCTAAACAAGTAGCAGACTCAGTTTGACAATCAGAAACACCAGCAGGATGAGACATGGAATCATGTGGGTCCACCAAACCCAATGCAATTGGCTCATTCCATCTGTTAGGAACACTCTCAACACCAACTTCTTTCATGTGCTCTTCCAACTCTGGGTAAAATGTATTATATGGTGCCACCTGGCATCCATCAAAACATATCTCACACATCATCAACTTTCATATATATAAAAAAAAAAAAAGGTTGCATTTGCATAAATGATCAAAACATACTTGAAGTTTATGGTTATCACCAACAATAAGTGGTTGCTGATTCACCCCTAAAAAGAATACACATTCACGACAATTAGCAATGCAGATACGCTTTGCTACTGAAATCACATGGACTCTCTCACAATGCTCGATCCTTACAGCCTGAGAAAAAGACAAACAATGCAAGAAACATTTAGAGTATATTTGGCATACATTGTAGAGACACTAAATGAGGGTATTTTAGTTATTTGCACAAATGAGGGAGGATTGAAACCATATGTGATATGTGTACCTTTCCAACAGCACCAAGCACTATAGTTGCATCAGAGCATCCATATATTGTGGCGTATCTCAAAGGAGCCAAGATGTAAATAACAGATTCATGGCAATTTATAATCTGCAGAAATTGAGAGCAACATTTCAATTAAAGAAAAAGGGATAGTGTTCATATATTAAAAGAAAAAATAGAAACTTGCAGAATGCTAACCTTTACAAAAGAGCTTTTAAGTTCAGATGGTTGCTTTACATATGATTGTTTGGAAATCCCCTCAATAAAACTGGAACTCTTAGTACTACTTGAGGCCTTCATTGTGTTTCCATAAGCATCAGCCATCATAGCATCCTGATCAGAAGCACTACTTGGCCCATTCTCTTTTGCAGCAACTCTTTCGGAGATATGTTCCATTGCAGAAGAAATGTTCTGTATAATCCAATCATGAACCTGTGATGCATGAACTGGGGCTGCGGGCATATCAGGATCTGAATTAGCAAAAAATGGAGCGTTTTGGCTTAATGGAATCTTCTGTGATCCTTTTTCGCCAAAATATATCAGAAAATCAAGATGCTCAAAGTTTTCCATTGTCAAAACCTGGATACATCGCAGATTCATCCAAACATCAAATCAGGATAAGAAATAAGAAGGTGGATTTAAGATGTAGTAACTATAATTGACAAACCAGTGAATCTTCGCCTTCACCTTGGCCTTCCACAGAGTCAGCCAATAGAGATATTATGTTGCCTAAATGCTTCTGTAGATACGATAATTGATGAGCTTCTTCATCAGCTTGTGATGGCATAGAACGCCGGACGTTGCTGCGTGCAAGCTGGTTAATGCAACATCAAACTTTTATTCTATTATCCAAAATCATAGATTTATGTCTGACCAGTCAAAATCTAAGCACATCAGTCAAAAGCTAAGCAGCAGATTAGAGATTAAAGCATCAACGGTAATTTATGAAGTTCTCAAGTTACAACTAACAGATAAAGTAGAGACCATCAATGGAATCACCTGTAAAGGCGTAAGAGCAGATAAAAAGCCATCGAATGCAGAAGTAGATGGCCAAACATCCGCAATAGCAGCGGAATCCTTATGTCCTCTAGGAAGCAATCGCTTGTACGACTGTATGTACAGAAAAATAATGAGATCATAGACATTGACGCCAACGGAATCAATCTCGTCAGGTTTAGCCGTCACAAGCGGGTCCGAATCGAAGGGGTGAACAGAAGCGATTATCTCAAAGACAAGTCGGGCGTGTTCTGGGGAGATCTGTAGCGTTTCAGATAGAACTGCGGAGCTAATGCGGTTTGGTTGATCTTTGGTAACTGGATGTTGAAGAAGTTTGTCACGGAGAGAGGTTAGGGTTTGTGTGGCGTCTGTGAAGATGAGTTTCTGCAAAGGGATGAGACCATGCTCGAAAGGTTCACGGCGTGGATGTATGTAGAGAGACGGTGGTGGAGGTGGTGTTGAGGGTTGCTCCGGTGGTGGTGTCTCCGTCATGGCTACGGTGGAGAAATGGATCTGGAGGTGATGAATGTGTGTGGGAGTGAGAGTGTTAGGACAGGGAGAGGGGGAAATGTGACAATATGAGGTCAAATGCGAGATGTAGATGTTATTGGTTAATGATGGATTAATCACTAATATTGAGAAAAAAAAATTACTAGATTAATTCTCATCATGCTAATGAAAAATAAGAAATTATATTTTTATATTTTTTTCTATCTATCATTTATTCATGTTAAAGTTTGATCATAAATTAAAATATTATATATTTTTTAAATGTTATATATTTTATTAAATATAACATATGTTACTATTTAACATTTAACATGGATATGTGAATGAATATAAATACTATATAGAAACTAAATTAGTCAAATCTTCAAAATCGATAGCAGAATTTATATGATTTTGCAAGACGATTTACTACAAAAATCTTTGTCATATGCATCTCCTATTTGAATAAATAAATAAATAAATAATCGAAGATAACCCATCTTCAACTTTTTTTTTAAATCATATTTTTTTCAAGGTTTTGTGTTAAAAGTCTCCAAAAATAATTTCCATAACATTGGGGTTTGGACTAAAACCCCAATGTTTAGGAGGAATTTGCTTCAACCATTCACATGCCTCCTTATCATACTGACTAAACTCCTTCATCAAATGTTCAAACTCAGGAATGGTGGTAGCTGATGCACACCTCCATAAGTGGTCCCTGTACTCTGTTTGCCTCCATCTTTTCCTCATATTATCATGAATATGTCTGATACAATATCTATGCTCAGCATTGGGAAAAATTTGCTCAACTGCAGTATGTAAACCCTGCAAAAATTAATTTTCAATCATTAGAATTAACTTACAACCACACTTTAAATGACCAAATGTATAAAAACTACTTCCAAATTTACCTTTTGCCTGTCACTTATGAAAGTAAAATTTGAGTTTCTTCCAAGGTCCAAGTCATCCCCAAGGTTATCTAAAAACCATTTCCAGCTTTCTATGTTTTCAGACTCAACAATCCCATATGCTAATGGGTAAATTCCATTATTGGAATCAAGACCAACTGCTGAAAGGACTTGCCCAGGGAATGGTCCTTTCATGAAGGCACCATCAAAACCTAATAAGTCCCTAAGGCATGCCTTGAACCCTTTTTTCAGTGGACCCAAGCACACATAAATTCTTCTAAACTGCCTAGTTGGGGAATCAGGGTTAGGCTCAGAACATACATCTATTTTCACTGTGGTGTCTGGGTTGGTGGCTTGAAGTTCAAGAACATAGTCCCTCAACAATTCATACTGCTTTGTGTAGTCACCAGTTACATGCTTTCTTGCCTTATCCTTTGCCCTGAACACCTTGTCCATACTAACACCCACTTGGTAGGTCTTTTGAAAGTGATCTTGTATAGCTCTCAAAGGTATATCTGGATTCGCCTCAACTTGATCAAAGATTTTCTTGCTGATTAAAGAAGCAGTACAAGCCCTGAGTTTCCTTGTTTGCAAACATGTGTGAGTTTGGTTTAAGGTCCTTATAAACCAGTCGGATTCAGGATTTGACCTAGATGCATGAATGTACCAACCACATGTTACTTTTTGTGTCTTTAATTCTTTACCCTTTCTTTTTGAAGTGGTAGCTTGACTACCCACTTGGCCTTTATTGGTGACAGGTACAACACCTCTACACTGTGCCCTAAGCCTTACATTGTCATTTTTTTTAAAGAAAAGATTCCTTCTTGATTCTAGTGCATGCAGATCAATTGCCTCCTTTAATTCTTTTTTACTATTAAATTTATCTCCAACTGAAAAAGATTGTTTATGTACTACCCCAAGACTGCACCTTTTTTCTTTTCTCAAATTCTTGATAAGAGCTCTTCTCTCTCTGTCTTGGTCGGATCCTTCATCCAAAGATTCAAATTCCTCATTGTTAATCACTTCCATATCTTCAGGTTCATGCCCATGAACAACATTTATACAAGAACCTTCCACATCACTTTCAACATTGAGAGTGAAGTCTCCCATGTCCACATCCACATCCTGTATATTGTTGTCAACATCCATTATGTCATCCATATGATCTTCATCTTCTATTTGTCTCTCATCTTCTTCATACTCTGGATCACTATTTTCAGATTCATCATACTCTTCAAAATTTGGATCACTTTCTTGAGATTCATCATCCTCTTCATACTCTTGATTACCCTCTTCAGATTCTCCATCCCCTTCATACTCTGCATTATCATCATCACTCCCAATCAAATTTTCCATAGGTTATCAAATAACTCATTCAATTGTTCATCAGCATTATTAACAGGGGGGGTGTTGTAGCCTTCTTCATCAAAAGTTGATGCCTCTTGAACAACATTTGCAGCCTCCCTAACACCATCCATCTCATCAATATGAACACAAGTTGCTGCCTCCTGAACATTAGTTGAACCATCCAGATCATCATTCTTTTCCTTTGAAATGTGAACAACCTCATCAATATAATCTAAATTAAGCCTTTTGCTACAAGAACTTTCACCTATTTTGGAATTCCCAACCCTACCCCTTCTATACTCTGGTGAGAAACTATCATTCTTACTCCCAAAAAGAATCAGAGACATGAACTCACCAATAGGCTCACCATTACCATGGTTCACATTTTTCATTGGAGAATCTGCATGAACTTGACCCTCAACTTCAGCCCCTTGATCATCATTTTCTGGTAATTCCTCAATGACAACTTTACCCTTTGCATTTGGTGACATGAAGTAAGTCAATAAATTTGTCTTTCCATGCTCTGTGTACACCTCAATCAGCTTGTTATGTGCAATGTATTTAGAAAGGTTGATCACATCCTGATCATTCCCTAAAGCTCTAAGACCAAATTGAAAGTCACCATTGGGTATCCTAAAATGGTAGTATATAACTGGGGATTCATCAGCGAATTCAGAATTTCGTGGGTCTGGGTAACCTAGGTCAAGCATTATGGCATCAAGTTCATGCACAGAAAACTCATCAATGTCCAGATAATCAACATAACGCACTTCACCTCCAATGTACTTTATATCAGGTAATTTAGTAAATTTCCCACCGTGATGAAGCTTAATACTAAACCATGTGGGTGCACCAGCTAAAAATCAAAATTATACATATTAACAAAGTTAAAATTTTGCATTTTTTTGTTCTAAATCAATAAGAAAATGCAAAGTATAAAAGTTAAAGAAAACAGAGCAGCTTACCATATACAGTTGATACATCAACAACTTCGCGTTTTGGTCTGATATGCCACATTACGAACACCATTTCGTATTAAACGTATGCCCTTATATGTGTAGTGTCGATTATCTTGTTTGGATAAGCAACGAGGGTTTTTTGCAGGTTCAATGGAGCAGAAGCAAGAAGGAGGGAGTTGGGGAGTTGACGAGTGTTGGGGAAAGTAAATGAGGGGTAAATGTCAATTAATCCAAAAAAAACGTTTATGCAAAAATGGTCCCTGACATATGAAATGACGAAATTACCCTCATGTGTGAGGCACGTGAGGGGGGCTTAACAGTTCCAACTTAACGGGAGTTAAGTCAGGGACCAAAACCACATAGAAACCACTCCAAAAGGACTATGGTTCCAAAAAACTCGAGGTTTGGACTAAAACCCCAAAAATTTGCATACCACAGGGACCATTTTTGCAATTTTGTCTAATAATAATAATAATAATAATAATAATAATAATACTAAGATTTATCATCATATTTCCTTTGATTTCTCATATTTAAAGAGGTGAGAAAACCTTTATTCATCGTTTTTATTATATCAAAATTACAATATTAAACTTTATTTTGCTGTAGAAATGGTAGTTTTTAAGACTTCTAGCACAAAAACCTCAAAAAAATGTTTTTTCTTAAAAATCACACAAAGGCATTACGAATATTTTTTGAGAAAAATCATAAATTAACCAAAAGTTAAAGGTGTTTTAAGGAATTAACCATGAAATTTTGAGTTTTGGAAAATAACATCGAGATCCGCAAAAGGGGATTTCTGGGTCTCTTTAATCCTCTGAGGATCGACGCACAGTACTGCAAAAATGATGTGACACCACTAAATGACAAAAAAAACAAACTTGGGACTGTAATGGTTCCGCCGAGGTGGCTTTGCGGATCCATTGTACACCTTTGCGGATCTATAATATCTCTGAGAAATTGGTAGGAATGAGATTGGTTTTGGATATTTTCCGATTTTACCCATTTTTGATGTTTCCACAGATGATTATAGTGATCCGCATATGTGCCAACCATAGTCTTGTCATTATGCCACGAGTCGTATCATAGTCTTTCCTTGCCAATTCGGGGACCAAAACCTTGGGTATTACAGACAAGTACCAGGAGCCATCTCCTGGTCTTCTATGCAAGCATCACAAAAACAGCTAACATACAATCTACAACTACTTATCTACTTAACTGCCAAAATCCAAACTTTGGTCTTGCATACAGATTTGCCAGGAGCCACTTCTTAGTCCTTCATACAAATATCAAGGGCCACCCCCTGGTCTTCCTATAATACATAAACCAAATGGGTCGGCATCGGTGCCTTCAACCCATAGTACAGTGAGGAGACTCACCTCGCACTGATGAATCACACTGATAATCCCTGCTTGTTGGTCCGATAATTCTACGAGCTATCAATATCAAATAATACCCAATTAACATTTGGGTTCCAATCTAAATCCAACAATCCATATATGGGGTAAAAGGACCATTTTACCCCTCACCTAGTTTGGTCAAAGACTAAGGCCCAAACGCACAATCAAAAAGGCTCACAACCAAATAATTATCCAAAGTCCACTTATGGCCTAGTTTTCCAAATTGGGCCCAAACCCTTACATGTGCCTTACCCTAAAGCTCATTACTTTTTCCTAATCTAAAACACTTGTTCTCAAATGGCCCAACAATACCACAAGCAACCAAGCCCAAAAGATATCCCGAAGCCCAAATATGTAAGGCCCAATAGACCGAGTATGTGGGGCGTATTCAGCACGTACGTGTAGCGTACACGCTTGGAGGCTTCTACGCTAAGCGTACCTACTTGTACACCCAACTTACTCACCCTTTTCATCATAAAACTTGATTCAACACTTAATCCCTTAAGACAATGATCCAAACACATAGATCTGACTTCATTGAGCTGGATTATCACGTAAAGTTGCTAACTTTACGTTAATGAATGTCTAAATGAAGCTCTTAAGCTTAAAAAGGACTTAATAAGTGACTTAATGCATGCATGACTCCAAAAAAACTCATAAAGCTTGCACCTTTATGCTCAAGGAGAACAAAACAAACTCAGATCTAAAAGAACAAGCCCTTAAACGACTTAACTCTTCCATTAACCCAAAAGGGACCAAAAGCATAACAAACTAACTTTGAAGAGATATAAACATATACAAGCCAAGATGCAAACTTGATATATCAGAAATCTTTCCCACAAGATGATGATGTTAGATCCAAAATCTTTTCACTAAGCAAGGCAACTTCAAGTTTCTCTACTTCCTTCGTAAAGGCAAAAATGGACACCAAGGTCTTCTTAATAGCTTAAGAACACCACCAAGAGGCTAAGGGGTCAATTTAGGGTTTTAGGAGGTTTGGGGGCTGGTAAAGAGGCCATCCATAAAGACTTATGATGCTTAAATAGGGTACACTTACTAAAAAAAATAGGGTTTAAGCACCCCTCATACGCCTAATTTACTCCACCTACCCCCAGCGTACGAGGCCGAGGTTTGCGATCCTTCCTTTTGGGTATGCTAAGCGTACACCAATGTACGCCCAACGTACTGACCTTCGCACCAGTACACCCTGCGTACTCCCTATGTATGTCCAACGTACTAGGGTTTCCTCTTATACCCTAAAATACCCTGAATGCCATAACTTCTTCGTTATAAATCCGATTTCGACGATCCTTATATCCATGAAAAGGTAACGAGAAGCTCTACACTTTTATCAACTCATACTTTCCATAAAGTTTCCCGAACAAAAATCCAATTTCCATAAAAGCTCGCTGCCATTTTACCAGACTACCCCTTGGCTCTTAAAACCAAAGCTGAACACCAGAATCATTTACATTACATCATCCACACCCAAATGGGTAACGATTCAGGACAACACGTTACATACATATGAATAGTGATATATTTATATATATATTCCTATCTGATTCTATCAACATGTGAATATACCAAAAAAAATCATATGTGAATATATCAACAAATCATATAACAATGTATATATCAGACAATCACATGAGAATAACATCCGAATCACTAAGTATAAATAAACACATACAAAATCACATATAAATCAACAAATACATATAAATATTAAAAATATGTTTGTATTTATGACAAAAATAACTTATTAATCACATATGATTAAACAAATATTTACTTCTATTACAGAAAAATAAAAATAACGACTTATTATCTAATCACAAATGATTAAAAGGAGAAATAAAACAACATTTTACTTGAACATTGATCCTGATGATTCAAATATTCATTATCTTCATCACAATCTTCAAATGTCGAATCAAAAACAAACATTTCATCTTCATGTGAAAAGCAACCGAATTCATTGTCATGATTATCACTTGAAAACTACATATCCAAACAAAAAACCTGTGACTAACAACCAAAAACAAATAAAACACACAACATTATTGTAGAAAAAATTAAGAAAACATAAAATCAGAAGAACATATTATTCGGAATTGGAAACCCGATTAGTTATAATATTTGAAAACTTGCCATTTTCATACAAAGTTGACAAATGATTAACAAAGAAAAGACAAATTGAGCAATTGATTGAACAAAATCAATGAAAATTGCAAATAACAATAAAAATCAACGACGAACAGAAAAAGAGAAATTCAACAATCGATTGATTATTTACTTACCTTTATATGAATCGACGAAGAATATCTAATGCAAGCTCCGTGTTTATGTGTGGATCAGTTAAAATCGGAAGCAATCAATAAAAATCTTGAAATTATGACGATAGAGGAGAAAATCCAATGATAGAGGAGAAAATAAACTAAACGCTGATATTATTTCGTATATAAAAACGCAATTGACAAAAATACCCTAACTAATAAAAAAATAGATAACACCTTTTTTTAAAGGGTTAATGGCTAAGATTTGTTCTCAAGCTTTCAAAACATATATTTGATTCTCTCTCTCTCTCTCTCTCACACACACACACACACATATATATATATATATATACACACTAGACGAATGTTCGCGCGTTGCGTATAAACACCTATATAGTTGAAGTCTTTACAAATATATGATTTTTTAAATATAACAATAACGTCGTTGTTAAATTTTATATAATAATTTCTATTTTACAGGAGAAAACTTGAAATTTATGTCTGTAAACACATTTCATCGAACATTTGGCCACATTAACAATGGTGGAACAACATCTCTACCTGGGAAATTAACTTGTAACAACTACATCTAAAAAAAGAATCCCCTCCTAGTCACCGTTGTACCAATCGAACTCATCTATGATGTATTCAATGACTGTTACTTAAACACCAACAGATTTAAATCCTACGTCCATAAGTTAAGCCAAGTGCGGTCGATGTCGAACAATAAGATGATGGCTATGATAGGAATATGAGGGAGGAGAAGGAGTATCTAGTGACAAACCTACAACTTCAATGTCTTCGAACGCGAGTTCAATCCGGTAAGAACATTGATTTATTCAAGAACCAAGGCGACATCAAACCTGAAGCAAAGAAAGGGATGGAATAAAGAATAGGGATCCCCAAATCCACCCCCTCCATATCATCAACGAGCTACATACCCCTCAATCTTGAAGTCTAAAATAAGAATAGGGAATAGTCTTTGGAGTGATTGATGAGTTTCTTGACTCACTCCATAAGTATTAGTGTTAGATATAGACCTCTTTTGGTCCCATTGTTTATAAAAATGCAAGCTTTATGGTGTATCTTGATCTATGCATGTTTTAAGACCTTTGTTAAGGTCTTTTTGAGCTTTTTGTTAAGCTCTTTTTGAGCTTTTGAGCCCCATTAATCCATGCATGTGTGTAAAGTTTCCAACTTTACGTGATAAGTGGTCTTATAGAATTAGATATGAGAGTTTACCTTGAAGTCTCAATGGATTAAGTGTTTAATGAAGTGGGGGTGGCCAACTAGGGAATACGTTGGGCGTACCAAGCTGGTACGATGCGCATACTAGCCCCATAGGGTGTACGCTAAGCATACAAGTTGAGTACACCCCGCGTACTCAACAGGTGGGCTTCGGTTTTGGGCTCATGTTTGGAGCTTAGGAGATTAGGGTATTGTTAGGCCATTAGGTTTCTATTTTTGGGCTGATGCTTTTATATTGGGTTTTTTGAATGAAGGCCCACGAAGGGATTTGGGCCCACTTTGGAAGATTAGGCCATATTTGAGCTTTGGGTGACCATTTTGGAATCGGGCCTTTTGTGTAGTTGGTTTGGGATGTGGCCTTGGGCCATGTTAAGTAAATGGTAAAATGGTCAT